GGGGGGGGGGCTTAAATTTGCTAATAAATAAATAGACTCCGAGTACCCAATTTAAACATAAAATATTCCAATTTATTCACAAATATCAGTACACAAACCCAGCGCTGATCACATACACTATGGTGCCAAAAGTATTGGGACGCTGGCCTTTACACAGGCATGATCTTTAATGGCATCCCAGTCTTAGTTCGTAGGCTTCAGTATTGAGTTGGCTCCGCCCTTTGCCGCTATAACAGCTTCAACTCTTCTGGGAAGGCGTTCACAAGGTTTAGGAGTGTGTCTATGGGACAATTACACAGCTGGACTGAAGTTGCCAAAGTTCCTATTTACAAAGCCCAGAGAAAAGAAAATGGAGGTTTCCTGGAGCTTTTAAACAAGTTTGCCATCGCCATGAAGAAGCTTGACCCATCTCCGTGGACAAACTGGTGAAGAGAGAAGGAAGGTCCGGCTTCGGGCTGCAGGTTCTATTGTTACATAAGGAAGGTAACCGATGACGTGGCGGCAGTTGCTTGTATTGGCTGAGCGTCAATGTCTATACAAAGCGCACACACCCGTGGTAGTGGGTCGGTGGAAGAATAGAGATCAGTTGACCCCTTCGTAGAATGTGGAGGGTGTCTACAAAGGTCACAGACTGCCAACGGGTACACAATATTTTCCTTGTCCACGTCCAATCCAGCTAGACAGTCATCTGATGACAATGGTACGCTTAAGGGCTAGATCAGGGCCGTAGCTACCACGAGGCGAGTGAGGCACTCAGGGCCGGCCTGGCTGCACCCCCTTGCCATGGCAAGGTAGGTAAAAGAGGGGAGCCACAGGCTCCAGCTTCTCCTCAGATCCCCACTGCTCTCCCCTGCCTGTATGGGCAGAGGCAGCAGGGATCTGATGAGAAATTGAGCGCTGCAGCCGGTTGGGGCGGAGGAGGAAGCTGTCATCCAGGATGGCCGAGCGTTAAGGAGAGAGAGCCACTCAGCCAGGATCTGACAGCCAGCGGCTCTCTCCTCACCGCTCGGCCATTCTGAAGTGATAACTCCCTTCCCCGCCGTCTTCAGCGCTCAGGATGGAAGAGTAGACGATCTGTAAATATCAGTAATATTATCGATCCTCTAGCACCAACACTGGAGCGATCAGCTGATCACTCCAGTGTTTGTAAACAACTGGGGACACATAGCACTATGTGTCCCCCAGTTATGAATGAACAGGAAGTGTTTTACATCACTTCCTGTTCATTCAAGAGTTTCTGAATAGGTGAAAGCACTCACTATAGAGGCTCCTCTCCATTGATAACTGAATGATAGTAAATATTTACTATCACCAGTTTATGAACGAATGGGAAGCCTCTGTACTGAGAGCTCTCCATTCATTTAGAACAGAGGCTGCAAAAAAAGATTGAGGTCTCTGTGTCCTCAATTTCTTTTTCTATTTTAAAACCCTAATATTTCCCCAAAGCCCCCCAACAGTAAAAACTAAAAAAAACACACAAAATAAAAAACCACATCCTGGTGTCGGGGCCCATGACATCGCATGATGTTGAACGTGCGCTGCGTCTGGTGATGTCACACGCCTGTTGAGGGGCACAATTTTCTGTTCTTGCCTCGGGCACCAAAAGAAGATAGCTACGGCTCTGGTGTAGCTGGGCAAGATTGTTCTGCATTTGACATACTGTTGAATCTTACTTCCAAGAGGAACTTTGGAAGCTGTGCCCAAAAAGGCAAGCAGAGGGAGAAGGACTAGTCACCGGTATTACCTGCAGCTGATGTTTTCACCCATTACCATGCCTTGTTCTGCACCGTGCCTCTGCATGGAGGTGGCCATCTTGGTAGAGGAGTAGGGCTTTGCTTCCTCTTATCATGGCTGTCACTAGGGATGCACCGATACTAGTATCGATATCGGTGCCGATACCGAGTATTTGGGCGAGTACTTCCTGTATCAGGAAGCCCGGCAGCGCGTCATTACACGTTGTCCGGCTTCCTGATTGGCCGGCCAGACGGCTCCGGCTGGGTACCGGAGGAAGGCCGCGTTCTGCCTGGAGAGGCCCCGGGGGTGACAGGCTGGACATACCAAGGTAAGAGGGGACTTTCTTGTTAATCGGGAAGCCGGGTGGAGAGTCATTACACACCACCTGGCTTCCTGAATGGGACTTCGGTTACTCGGTAATTGGTATTGGCGAGTACGGAACAAAAATTATCGGTACTCGTACTCGGTGCCAAAATACCGTTACCGGTGCATCCCTAGCAGTCACCCCTGAGGGCTGTTGATCTGATGACTGGTGGGGTAATAATCAAGATGCAGTCGGAGAGGTGATGGAAGAACAGATCCACAAAACGAAGCAGGAGCAGGGAGATCCTTCCGCTGCAGGTCCTCAGGTACGGCTTCCTCTCCGGCAAGGAGAACATTGACCAGCATCATCAAATGTCACTCCAGATCTGGAGAGACTATCAATCGGAGGCAGCAGTGCTTCTCCCTCTGACCATTAGGTCCTCCTAAGGTCCATGACTGCTGCACGCAAAGCAGGTCAATCAGCGCTCTGGATTGCGTCTGAACACCTACATCTGGGTAGCACTATATTCGTCCACACGAGCCCTTAGGTGAGCTACAGAGAGGTAAATGGGTCACCAAGAATGGCGGGTTGGGAATCTTACGCCTGCATCATCAAAGCCCCTGATGATATGGTCTCCAACTCAACCAATGGATGACTAAGTAAAGCACTGACTGTTGGGAAATCTCTGCCTGAATGATAAAGTGCTACTGAGCCAACAGGAAGCTCTACAGAGCCTGAGTCGTGCCCAATTGGCTTTTATGGATCGGGCCTTCAAGGGTCAACCTTACTCAGTTGCCACACCCTGACATAGAAGCTGCTGACCCGTTGTGGGAGCCGAGATGGCAAATGAGCGAGTATTTCTTGGAAAACTGTTTCCCACATTCAGAGCACGAATACGGCTTCTCCCCTGTGTGGACTCTCTCGTGTCTCACAAGAGTGGCCCTATCAGTAAAGCACCTTCCGCACTCCGAACACGAATACGGCTTCTCCCCCGTGTGTATCCTTTCGTGCGTAACCAAAACCGACTTCTGCGTGAAGCATTTCCCGCAAACGGGACATGCAAACGGTTTCTCCCCTGTGTGGCTGGTTTTGTGTTTCACCAGGTGAGACTTCTGAGTGAAACACTTTCCACACTCAGAGCAGGAAAAGGGGTGATCGCCGGTGTGAAGTCTCTGGTGCTCCACCAGATACGACTTTTGCGCAAAGCTTTTGCCGCATTCGGAACATGGATACGGGCGGTCGCCGGTGTGGGATCTCTGGTGTCTGACGAGATTCGTTCCAGAGGAGAAACATTTACCGCATTCCGAACATGAATATGGCTTCTCTCCCGTGTGGATTTTTTCATGCTTGGTAAGAGTCACCTTCATGGAGAAACACTTCCCGCACACAGAACACGAAAATGGTTTTGCCCCCGTGTGAACGCTCTCGTGTCTGATGAGACCTGATTTCTGAGTAAAACTTTTTCCGCACTCGGGGCACGAATACGGCTTCTCCCCCGTGTGGATTCTTTGGTGTCTGATGAGAATTTTCTTGCAAGAAAAGCATTTTCCGCACTCAGGGCATGAAAAAGGCCTCTCCCCGGTGTGAGACCTCTGATGTGCGGTGAGGGTTCCTCTCCGGGTGAAGCACTTCCCGCATTCAGAACATGGGAACGCTTCTCCCCCTCCGTGGTGGTTAACCGCAGATGAGTGATCGTGAAAACTCCGGCCTTGTATAGCGGGTTTGGATGACGGATCTGCGCGGTTAGGTACTGGAAGGACCCGTACGGTAATTGGGTTTTCCTCTGAAGAATTGGAAGTGACGTCGTCCTCGTCCATTCCACCATTCGTTGCAGACGCGACGCGACGTTTTCCTGCGTTGTACCTTCTGTATCGTCCATCTAGAGGAAGAATGCGCAACTTAATAAGAATGCTTCATGTGCTTTTCCAATGTATTTAAAGTTTTGGATAGAGTGGGAGGAGTTAGGGCTCATTCACATGGGTGTGCACACTCCCGGGCAGAGACCTGCTCACGGGAGGGACAGGTGCTGAGAGTAATTTCCTGCAGGACCCTGCACATCTCTATGAGAGGACGCGGCTGCACATCGACCCGCACACCGTCTCTGCCCTAGTGCGTGCACCTGGACCTGCATGGACGTGCAAGTTCACATTGGCGTGCAGACGCATCCTCCCATAGGTCTACTCGTGTCCTTAGGTGAGCTACAGTTAGGTAAATGTGTCACCAAGAATGGCGGGTTGGGAGTCTTACGCCTACAACATCAAGACCCCTGATGATATGCTCCCTAACTCAACCAATGGAGGTACATGCATGTAGTACCTGTCCTTCCTGGGAGCAGGTCTCTGCATGGGCGTGCATGCTGCACCCGTGTGAATGAGCCCTTAATATCTGCCACGCTGTGTACTACACTACAGTGTTGGACAGAAACACTGCCAGTGACAGCAGAATTAATCAAAGATTTGACTGGCCATGGGCTGGAGAAGTATCAACCAATAGGCTTCCTCCACAGCAGACACCTTATAGTAGTAGGTGTTTCTTGCTTCAATGCATTCTCTCCATTACATGAAGCACCCCCATCCCCCCCACACTTACCTGCAGCCGCTCATCTCCTCCTCTGCGACCAGGAAGATACTCGGGGTTCCCCAGGCTTCCTGGTTGCTGGGAGGGTACTAAGGTTAAAGAAGCCATAGGCTCCTTCTGCTGTCAATCAAACTATGACTGCAAGGGTGGGGGGCGTGGCCGGCCGCACACTGTGTGCGTCTATGGATGCACACAGCTAGGTGCGGGCATGGCCGTGACCGGGCACGTATGGGTGCCTCCACAGCAGTCTACTAGCTGACGGAGGTGCCCGTACCCAGGGTGGGAGGGGCTAGCGGCTAGATACCACTAGGATACGAAGAAATAAAAAATATATCGTTATTTTACAGGAAGTCCGGCCCACATAAAAATCATTTTTTTTAAATGAAAGTTTAATGGCGCTTTAGGTTCATAATGGGCTGGAAGTGTTCTCAAAGTTGTGGCAATCCCCCGAAAATTGGGGTATGGCTAGAGTATGTATGCCAACCCCACACCCGCCTCTCACAGCTCACCTCTACCGATCTCCGAAGGAACTTCCTCCTTGCACGGCTCATCCCCCATCACGTAGGTCTCTTCTATTTCTTCTTCTTCCTCTTTCACTTCAACTTTGATCAGATTTTCCTCCTGAAGAAGACAAAACGGTAAATTAGATGAAGACTAATCAGAGTGTTAAAGGGGAAGGGAACACCAGATATAAAAAAAATTACTTTTGAGCTGGTGAAAGGGTCTCTTCATAGGAGGTATGAACCCGGAAGCGAGGAGTTGTGATCACTTCCAGGTTCAGGGCTGTGATCACTTCCAGGTTCAGGGCTGTGATCACTTCCAGGTTCAGAGCTGTGATCACTTCCAGGTTCAGAGAGCTGTGATCACTTCCAGGTTCAGGCTGTGATTTCCACTCGCCCACTACTGATACACAACGCGCGGCTGTTTTATCCTGTTTGGCTGCACGAGCGGAATGGCGGCAAGAAACCGCGCGATCCGTCCCGGCACGACTGGGGTGCCGTTAGAAAATAATGGCACCGCCAGCGCGATCGTCTGTGCTTGGCGACTCCGTGACTGCGCGGCAAACCGTGCGGAATCGTGTATGATTGCCGCGCGGTCGCCTAGGTGTGCACCGGCCCTGAATTTTTGAAGCTGGTGAAAGGGACTCTTTATAGAGGTATGAACCCGGGAGCGAGGAGCTGTGATCACTTCCAGGTTAAGGGCAATGATGCAAAGCCAAAGCTGGGGCAACAGGAAGCGGCTGAAAAAGACTTGGGGGGGGGGGAATCAGCATTGCTGAAATGTGAAGATTTTTGGGTTCAAAGAAGCCTCCGAATACCAGCATCTACCTGGAGGTCCTGTGATGTCTCATGGTCTTTCTTTGTCTTTGTAGATTGCTGGGAGTAAGGAGGACTGGAACATCCGGCTGCCGCACTGAGGTTTCTGTTATTCTGTCCACCTGTAGGAGACACATAAACAGGTCCATGTGTTCTGTCATAATGTTCCACAAGACATTACAGGCTCAATTCTGGAAGCTTTATACACGGATACGGCTTGTCCCCTCCCCCTCCTCCTGCCATGTGGATGTCATTTTTCAATTTCATCCAACTTAGCTAAAAATAACCGTCACTTTTTGGAAACTTAGAATCCTTATCCTGATGTTTTAGTTTCTAGAGCCAAGGCTGATCTACTGCTCGGAGCAGGGGCAACATTTTGTATGGGGCCCCCCGTGATTTCTAGTTATACCCCTTGCAGAGCCCACTCGAGATCCCACCTGAGGGTGAACCTGCAGAGCCCACCATAGACTCTCTATGGCGGGCTCTGCAGGGTCACCCTCCGGTGGGCTGGTCGCACTCCTTACCTGTCCACATTCTCTTCCTCCACGGTCGCTGATGGGCCCCGCCCTCCTCCTCCATCACCGGGCCCCGCTCCTCCCCTGCTGCCGACCACGGGCCCCGCCTCCTCCACTGCCGGGTCCAGCCTGCTCCACCGCCGCTGCTGGCTCTCATTGACTCTGTGGAGAGGAACGCGCTGCCGCACAGATTACTGTCCGTGATCTGAACAGCGGCGTGTTCGTCTTCAACCACCAGTGACAGCCACCAGCAGAGGATCCCAGGCGGCCCACACGGCATCTGGCCGGGCCCCACAGCGTCCGCCTGGGTCGCTACGGTGATTGTTACGCCACTGGCTGAGAGATCTGCAAGAAGATGCCACAGCTACCGACTGAGAAAGGACAGAAGAAGGCCGGGGTAGATCCCTATCATAGTATTATAATGGGACACGACCTAACAGACAACAAGTAATGTTCTCATTGCAAAACAACCGTCACAATCTCATCCAAACTAAAAATAACCGTCACTTTTTGGAACCTTTCGTCTCCTTATGCTGATGTTTTAGCTCTGTGACTTGAGCCTCATCTACTGCTCAGAGATCGGCAAAGGAGGTGCAAACTTTCAAAAGCTAACTGCCTGCAAAGGAACAGAAGGAGACTGCTAGGAACAGAAGGATACAACCCAATCACAGCACTACAACGGACACAACCAAAATGCTGTTTCAGCAAGGAGAACCTGGAACTCCTCTCTGGATTCAGAGTTTCGTTACTCACCTGTGCTGATCTCTATAGGAATTTCCTCCTCTTTAATCCTCAAATGTCCATCCTTCTTCTCCTCAACACTGATGTCCCTTTGGGTCTCCCTGATGTCTCTGGTGTCTGTGAATAAAGATGAGAGTGAAGCCCCCTGTACTGAGAAGTATGAGAGACCCCAGAGAGTGTGTGGGGGAGACCCTGTACTGAGATGTATGAGAGACCCCAGAGAGAGAGTGTGTGTGGAGGAGACCCTGTACTGAGATGTATGAGAGACCCCAGAGAGAGTGTGTGTGGGGGAAGACCCTGTACTGAGATGTATGAGAGACCCCAGAGAGAGTGTGTGTGGGGAAGAACCTGTACTGAGATGTATGAGAGACCCCAGAGAGTGTGTGTGGGGAGACGGGTCACGTCTCTTGGCTGGTAACACACAATGACATGATGTGAGGAGGAGAGGCGGAGTCTAATAGAGGCTGATGGCTCCTGACTCCCCCCACTAAACACATTCCGTCCCCCCATTACTGTCTACTGACAGAGGAGGGGAGAGAAGAAGAGATTGTTGTAGTGACTGAACAAGGAGAATCTGGGACTCTTTTCTGGATTTAGTGTTTATTCCTCACCTGTGCTGATCTCTGGAGGGATTTCCTTCTCCTTACACGGCTCATCACCCTTCACATATGGCTCTTCTCCACCTTCAACCTTAACAACCATCAAACCTTCATCCTGAATAAGACACAATACCAACTATTTTATCAGAATTAATGATGAAGAATGCTACATTTGGTTAAGACCCTCAGCACCATCTACCTGATTCTCCTGAGGGATCTCCTGACGTTCCTGTGTGGAATCCCGGGAATACAGAGGACGGGCCTGAGGGATCTCCTGATGTTCCTGAGGGATCTCCTGATCCTCCAGATGGATCTCCTGATGTTCCTGTGTGGAGTCCCGGGAATACAGAGGACGGGCCTGAGGGATCTCCTGAGGTTCCAGTGTGGAATCCCGGGAATACAGAGGACGGGGACATCTCTCTGGGGTATTTCTCTTCCTGGATCCATCTGTAGGAAACACACACACTGACTGAATACATTGTTTCTATGTCTTTATATCAGAGGATGTGTGTATCTAGGGGGATCCTCAATACTCAAGAAATGAAAGTCTCCTCTTACCCGGTGATGTGAGGGGAGGCCGGTTCTCCATCATGACGTCCTTGTACAGATCCTTGTCTCCGAAATGTTCCTGCTCCTGAATGTTCCTGACCAAGTCAATACTGTGATAAAAGAAGAAATAAAAGAATATTAAATAGACGTAATGCTACAGAAGACTGTCTGAGATGGTCAGATTGTAGACATATTACAAGAGATGGTGAGAGATACCAGACAGTAAAAGACTGAGGCAGATACATGAAAACACGAGTTCACAGCTATTACAAACCTATACTTCTACTACTGACTATTGGGGCCCCAGGGTGGCACAATAGGCTCCTACGGGCACCAGGCCTCAGGTCTGTAAGTGCTCCTTATGTGGTGTCAGCCATGACAGCCTGGGTTTGCCCGAGTTGGCAGAATGTTTCACCTCTTCTGCAAAATGAAGACAAGGGGGACTTTCCTGCAAAAAAAAAAAGAGACCCTGAGTGACTATATGAATTTGTTTAAACCTTGTCTCCTAAACCTAACCCCCTCACATTAACCATTACAGTTCTAGTGCTTTTTTGACATTTATTTTGTTCCTTATGGCAAGAACCAGAAGAACTTATCTCCCTTTTTAATTTTGTTATTTCAGAGTTGTGGCTTTCCTGAGAATACACCACAAAGTGCTTTCAGCCCCATCTAATGTCCTACAGATCAGAGGACTTGCGGGAAGATGATGATTTATTGAGGTGACATGATCCCCCCCATCCAGGCCGCAGAGAGTGCTGGGACCCCCTTCTCTCTTCCTCCTCTCATAATAAGAAGACATTATTACCTTCTCCTTACTGGGCACACACTCCCCAGACTCACACCCTCACTGGGAAGATTTTCTCACCCACTTCCAACTGCGGGCTACAACAAAATGGCCGCCGACCCTGATGCGTTAAAGACACATCTCTGTTTTTGTAAACATTACATATAAAATGTCCTATTATGAATGAAAAATGTTTAATTTGGGTACTGTGGTAACGATAATATTATTTTTTATTATTACTCATAACGGAAGGTTGTACTGTTGTCTACAAAGAAATGGCCGCCGCTTCTACTTAGGTAGCATTTGTTTTAACTTCGCCCTCTAGCGTTCGCTCAACGCAGTAGGCGGGGAAACTGCTCAGGGGGCAGAGCGAGACTCAATAGCCGCTTTGCTCTGTGCGCGTTCCCAGTCCTCTCGGCTGTGTCAGGTTGCTATGGTGACGGGCGCGCGCAGAGTGGAGGCGAAGCCAGTCAGAGAGGCCGGCGGCCATTTTGTTGCAGCTCAAGTGGGAGACCTGGAAAGAAAAACTGGCAAGATTTGCTATCGTCTTCCGGTGGTCTGAGGCTGGAGGATGCGTACCCCGTGAAGAGGTAATAATATATTCTTATTATGAGAGAAGTGGGTCCCAGTATTCTCTCTGTGGACTTGATGGGGATGAGTCATGTGACCTCAACAAATCATCATCTTCCTGCAAGTCCTCTGATATGTAGAACATCAGATGGTGAGCTCCGCAGGGGCCGGTGCACATATCCTTGGGGGCGTGTCCTCTGCAAAGCTGCAACCCGTGTGTTGCCGCTCTAGAAATACACCCGGCAAGGGACAAAATGAGAAAAAGTCGTCAGCCCACCGCAGACTCGAGGTGTAAGGTGGGTATTGAAGGCGCATGTGGAGGGCTGACTGCGTCCGCTACTATTTGCTACCTCAGGAATGAGGTAAGTCGGGTTTTCTGTGGGATGGGCCCATTATTAGACTGGTGCTGTATGCCCCAAAAACATTTCTACCAGAGCTTGGTCACTTCCACGTCCCCCAGCATGTGATTGGAGAGCAAGGGATCAGCGGCAGACTGATGAGCTCATCCTTTTCTTTGTCTCCACCCATTCTCTGCAGCTTTCCAAGACCCGCCCACCCAGCGGAGAAAGTAGAGCAGTGATGTAACACAACCAGACTGATGACCCCCGGAAAAAAGGTGGGTACCAAGATATTTTATATGACTCTTGGGGGGTCTACAGGGGAGAGGGGCTTGGGAGTGAGCTTTCAAATGAACCAGTCACACGATTACCTATGAAAGATCCATATTTACTGCTTTATTAAGCTTTACTCCTATTGCCTGAGGGAGACTCTCAGAGGCCAGAGACCCCCTCAGGCAGCCATTCTCTACCAGACTTCCATGGAAACCTAGGGTTCCTCCAGTAGTGGGCGAGGGGCTCCTCCAGTGGTGGGCGAGGGGCTCCTCCAGCGGTGGGTGAGGGGCTCCTCCAATGGTGGGTGAGGGGTTCCTCCAGGGGTGGGTGAGGGGTTCCTCCAGTGGTGGGCGAGGGGCTCCTCCAGCGGTGGGTGAGGGGCTCCTCCAATGGTGGGTGAGGGGTTCCTCCAGGGGTGGGTGAGGGGTTCCTCCAGTGGTGGGCGAGGGGCTCCTCCAGCGGTGGGTGAGGGGCTCCTCCAATGGTGGGTGAGGGGTTCCTCCAGGGGTGGGTGAGGGGTTCCTCCAGTGGTGGGCGAGGGGCTCCTCCAGCGGTGGGTGAGGGGCTCCTCCAATGGTGGGTGAGGGGTTCCTCCAGGGGTGGGTGAGGGGTTCCTCCAGTGGTGGGCGAGGGGCTCCTCCAGCGGTGGGTGAGGGGCTCCTCCAATGGTGGGTGAGGGGTTCCTCCAGGGGTGGGTGAGGGGTTCCTCCAGTGGTGGGCGAGGGGCTCCTCCAGCGGTGGGTGAGGGGCTCCTCCAATGGTGGGTGAGGGGTTCCTCCAGGGGTGGGTGAGGGGTTCCTCCAGTGGTGGGCGAGGGGCTCCTCCAGCGGTGGGTGAGGGGCTCCTCCAATGGTGGGTGAGGGGTTCCTCCAGGGGTGGGTGAGGGGTTCCTCCAGTGGTGGGCGAGGGGCTCCTCCAGCGGTGGGTGAGGGGCTCCTCCAATGGTGGGTGAGGGGTTCCTCCAGGGGTGGGTGAGGGGTTCCTCCAGTGGTGGGCGAGGGGCTCCTCCAGCGGTGGGTGAGGGGCTCCTCCAATGGTGGGTGAGGGGTTCCTCCAGGGGTGGGTGAGGGGTTCCTCCAGTGGTGGGCGAGGGGCTCCTCCAGCGGTGGGTGAGGGGCTCCTCCAATGGTGGGTGAGGGGTTCCTCCAGGGGTGGGTGAGGGGTTCCTCCAGTGGTGGGCGAGGGGCTCCTCCAGCGGTGGGTGAGGGGCTCCTCCAATGGTGGGTGAGGGGTTCCTCCAGGGGTGGGTGAGGGGTTCCTCCAGTGGTGGGCGAGGGGCTCCTCCAGCGGTGGGTGAGGGGCTCCTCCAATGGTGGGTGAGGGGTTCCTCCAGGGGTGGGTGAGGGGTTCCTCCAGTGGTGGGCGAGGGGCTCCTCCAGCGGTGGGTGAGGGGCTCCTCCAATGGTGGGTGAGGGGTTCCTCCAGGGGTGGGTGAGGGGTTCCTCCAGTGGTGGGCGAGGGGCTCCTCCAGCGGTGGGTGAGGGGCTCCTCCAATGGTGGGTGAGGGGTTCCTCCAGGGGTGGGTGAGGGGTTCCTCCAGTGGTGGGCGAGGGGCTCCTCCAGCGGTGGGTGAGGGGCTCCTCCAATGGTGGGTGAGGGGTTCCTCCAGGGGTGGGTGAGGGGTTCCTCCAGTGGTGGGCGAGGGGCTCCTCCAGCGGTGGGTGAGGGGCTCCTCCAGTGGTGGGCGAGGGGCTCCTCCAGTGGTGGGTGAGGGGTTCCTCCAGTGGTGGGGGGGGTCCTCCCTCCAGCCGATGTGTGTCCCTGCTCCTGCAGCCTCCCGGGATATGTGATGGGGATGCCCCAGGAGGTTGCAGGAGCAGGGACTTACCATTGGCAGTGGGCGGGCCAGGGTTACCATAGGGAAGAGCCGGCGAGGGTCCGCTTTCCGTACACAAGGCAATAACACGTGTTCCGCTTATATCTGTAGGTGTCAGCCATGCCATTTTGCATTGTTGCGGGCTGCTCCAGCAAGTCCAACAAAACCACATCCTGCAGGGGTATAATTTTGCACGTCTTCCCTCGCAGCGTCGACAGGATCAAACGCTGGCTGCGCCAAACCGGACAGGACTTCGGAAACCTCAACAAGTTTGCCAAGCGGGTGTTGGACGGCAAGAAAACCGATATTTTCCGGTTATGCTCGGAACATTTCACCGCAGACTGCTACGTCACAAACATCTCCAAGAAGATCTTGAGGGACGATGCTTTGCCCACCGTATTTCCAAACAGAGGCGCCCTCTCGGCAGCGCGCTCCAGAAGAACGAGGGTGGAGTTTGGGGCTAATAACGCCAGCTATCTGAACACAACGTTGAGTAGTAACCTCGTCGCTACAAACGCCATGAAGAATGTGAAATTTGGCACTGGAAGTACGGCTCCGGGTCGCAGAATGTTCACCTTGCGGCCATCAAACGCACAGGACAGTATGAGTACCTCTGAACTAGACTTTGCAGACCCAGAAGAACCTAATTGTATTCCTGAAGGAACCTCAGGCTGCAGCGACCCCCCCAAGGAAGAGGAAAACTCCCGGAGATCCAAAGAACTGGCTTCTGAACGGAAATTTATTGTCTTTGAGTCTTGCCTGGATCAAATTCT